GGATTGCCTACATTTTGAAGAGACAGATCACAAAACATAAATAAAATGCCTTTAGCTGAAATAGTCAAACACATTATAAAATTAATTATAAGTAAAACAAAGTACCAGTATTAATAAGTTTTATATGAGGTTTCTATAAATGAAAAAGACAAAAAACCCCAAACCTAAATTTTCTTGAGTGCAGGATTTTTGGTACATTGTGGAGCTGTAAGTCTGGCAAACTCATTCTCAAAATTTAGATCTTAGAGGTTTGGACTTTTAGACGATTATCTTTTATCCAAAGATAAATGTATATTATCCACAATAAAAACTCAATAGCAATTAAGGCAAAGACCAAATGAACAGATTTTTGGCCAATAAATGGAAGGAAAGCATATACATCATCCAGTTGTTATTGTTGTTGTTTGGAGTCCTGGTGTGGTGCTGTGGGTTAATGCGCTGGACTGCAAGGTCGGTATGAACTGTAAGGCCAGTGGTTCAAACTCACCAGCTACTCCTTAGAAACCCTATACAGGGTTGCTATGAGTCAGAACCAACTGGATGGCATTAAACAACAACAACAATTGTTGGTAGGAGCTGTTGAGTAGGTTTCAACTCATAATGACCCTGTATAGAGTTTCCAAGGAGCAGTTGTTGGGTTTGAACCGCTGAACTCATGGTTAGCTCAGTGCTCATCCTACAGCACCACACCAGGAAACCTATTATTCAGTAGTAAAACTGAAAATGAAAAAATCATTTAGCCCACTTAAGGAGGCATATATGGATATCTACTTTGGCCTAAAAGAGTTGCGTTTTATAAGTTGATAAAAGGTAAATTCACTAAAAGCGTTTAACAAAAATACCAGTAAAGAGTATAGTTTCTACCTGGTTGGCCAGCAGTATGGTGAGACCTGGGGACTCCTGAGCTCATGGACAAGGACATAGCCACAGGGGTCTAGAGTGGATAATGAAGCATCCAGCTGATATGAAGTGAGGGGAGATGCACAAAAATGTCCATACTTGCAGATAGTACGCATTTGATCTAGCTTCAATGGCTGGATGGATGATCAGAACTCAACTAGATGAAGAGAGAAAAAAAGTCATTATATATATGTGTGTGTATACATATATATATATATATGTGTGTATATATATATGTATACACACACATATATATATATACACACATATATATATATATATATAAAGAAAACAAGTGTAATTTTCTATAATTTGATGAACTTGACCTATATTAATAGATGTAGTAGCTTAAAATACCAACAAGAGGGAAGGAACCTATCAGAAAGGATCATTCCCATCCCTTCTGTACACAGGGTTGACAGGGATGGGCAACTCAGACACTGGCTACCTAAAATTGAGGAGCTGTAAAGGAACAAAGTAACTGGCTTACAAGTTTTCAAGAGGGAGTTTCGTTTAGAGAGTGCATGGGAAGGTAGAATTTCCACTGAAAGGTTTTTATCCTACCTACACTGGGCTGGTCAAAGATGGGGATAAGACTCTTATGATTCAATAGTGAATAATTGTTATTTACAACTGCAAAGATACAGGTTTTGTAGCAAAAAGAGGGGAGTGGTTGTTCTTGCAGGCCAGGAGCAGAGGACCCTATGATCATCACAGGAGAGGAGCGGGAGCAGAGTGTGGGAACATGTTCAGAGAAGCAGCAATGCCAGAGATGGAGGCAGAGATGATAACGTGGAGAGATGGAGCGGCTGGGGACTCCAGACTCATGGAGGAAGAGGGGCTGTGTGCTGCCTGCCAGAGAACAGGCTTGCACTGTATGCCCTTTGGTTGTTTGAATGACTGTATGCTCCTAAGAGTTTTGGTGTACATCCAAAAATAAAAAAATAAAAAAACTACGCAAAACCAAAACAGAGGGAATAGAAGCAAATATTGTTGAATGATACATGGAGGGGATTGTAATCATTGCAATGAATTGAAATATTATAGGATGAGTGTAAGCTGATGTTCTCCCATGTTAACTACCACTCAATTCATAATACAAACTTAAAAAAAAAAAAAAAAAAAAAAGAGTGTAGTCTTTAATGGTGGTGGCAGTGGTCATGTGCCATGGATTTGGTTCCAATTCATAGTGATCCTGTATAGGGTTTCCGAGACTGTAAATCTTTATGGGAGCAGAAAGCCTCATCTTTCTCCCATTAACAGATCTACTTATAAAACGAAACTTTTATTCCTAATTTTGAAATAGCTAAATAAATGAATGAACAGTCCAAAATTCTTCCTCTTCTCTCTGCCACCACATCTGGCTTACAAATAGTGATATAGTTAAAAGGCAAGCACCCACAATGAGCAAATATTAAATAAATGCCAGTGCTCAGCAACAGCAAATTAGCTAATTGGTTACTAAATGGAATGAAGAGCAAAATACAGTCCTTTAAAGATGGTTTTTATTTTCTTGGCACACAAACATAAAAATGACATTTGTCTGCTATCTAGAGCAGTTGAAGACATCAGAAATGGATAACAATTTACTTATAATATTAACAGATATGATGACAGGTCTTCCTCCATTATCTTAGAAAAATATCACAGCATATCACAGATTAAACTGTAAATTTACGTTTCATGTTTAAGAGTAAAATGGGATTAGTGAAGAACCAAGGCACAGAAACATTTAATTGTTGAAATGTAATATAATAATATCTTATCCAGCATCACTCAAGAATAAAACATTCTATCTAAATGTTCTTTATAGTCAAATGATACATGTTTCTTTAAATTCTAGAACCATTACTTTAACAACTTTAGATGGAATCATGTGCAACATGTCTTCTTAGTCTTTAAAATAGCCCATGCTAAACATAACAATGCTCTTTCATTAACATTCCTCATTACGATTATGAACCATTTAATTTTCTACTGCAACATACTATCACCAGTATCAACTTAAGCCTTATTTATTTTTCGCTCATTTCATTGTCCGCTATTGCTTCTCACTTTGGTTAAATATGCCTGTTTCCTGTTATCTTGCTTATCAATTTTAATGTAGAAGTTAGAGTAACAATTAGACAAACCTTTGATGAACTGGTTTGTCTCCTTTCTAGAGGAAGATCATTTCTCTTAACTGTTCAGTTTAGGAAAGATTAGAGACATTGAGAAATGAAGAAAGGAGAGAAATTTAGATATCAATGTGTCTATTCATAATGGGTAGGTTATTATTCTTAAAATTGCAAGATTTAATTTGCTTTATGATGGGAAATCCAAAAACTAAGCTACTAAGCTACACCTAAAGCAGGGTGAGTTTTAAGTAAGAGTGTGTGGGCAATCTTGCAAGAAGCTACATGAGCTCTGGAGCCTCGGATGTTGACATCTGAAGCATTTGTTCTCAGGAGTTTTTGTTAACTTATATTTTTAAGTGACAGTTAAGGTTGTTGGTATGACTACTAACTATGTTGCCTCTAACTATGAAAAGTGTTACTATACTGTTGTTTTATTAACTATAAAAATAACACTAAGTAATGAAAGGTTATTTGCAACTATCTGCTTGTAACTTAAGGTATAATGATCTAACCTAAGTGTTTCCTGAAACAAAAATTATAATGACAGAATAAATTATAATGACAGAATAGATTTCTATTTTTTTCAAGAATAGGTTTTTCTGATAAAGTATAAACAAGTCCATTTAGAAAATAAGTCCTATTAAAAAATGTCAACTCATAAAAGTGTTAAAACTCTTTCCTTTTATGCTCTTTTCAGATTAAATATAACGTAAAGTAATGTAACATAATAAATTGTTTCTAATTATTTTACTGAATTCCAATAACTAGTGCATTCATATGTTCGTATTATATTAAAATTATTCTCAATTTTATTTTAACTTTCTTCAAAGTTGTCAATGCAGGCTATGGTAAATAGGATCTCTCAATAGATAATTTACACACAACTAAAAATAGGTGCTAAGTTTTAGAAAGTTAATACAGTACCCTTTTTTCCTTATGATTTCATAAATAAGTTCAAGAATCTGTATTTTCAACATGTAAAAAATCAAATGCCATTGAGTTAATTCCAATTCATAGTGACTCTATGTAGGGTTTCCGAGGCTGGAAATCTTTATGGAAGCAGAAAGCCTCCTCTTTCTCCTATGGAGCAGATTCAAACTGCTGACCTTGTGGTTAACAGCCATTATGTAACCTACTAGACCACCAAGGTTCCTTTTAAACATGTAGTTACATGCTATCAAGTCAGTTCCAACTCCTGGAGATCCTGTAGAGGGTTTCTAGGGCCATAAATTTTCTCAGGACCAGAAAGCTTTATCTTTCTCTCTCTGAGCAGCTAGTAGATTTGAACTTCTGATCTTTTAGTTAGCAGCTCAGCTTGTAACCCACTACGGTACCAGGGTTCCTTTTTGAATATGTAAACCATTTCATAATAGGAAACTGTAAATAAATGTAAATAAATGACTAATTTTACATAACTGTTCTTAGGAAATACATTTCCCAATATTTGTGGGGTTTTGTTCCTTAGACATATTATGATGCTATGCATCATTAACACAAGTAGATTATGTTCAATACCATTGCATTCATGATATTAAAAACATATATTAATGTATCAAGTGAAAAAAGTAAAAACATATTACTATCTGTGCTCCGTTTATGAGCATCTATTGTAGGTAGACACTCCATCATTCGTTTTTAGATTTATTTCTGCTTATGTTCAAATAGAAGATTACATGATTTTTTTTTTTTCTTTAAAACTCTGGAGTTTTAGGCATTTAAAGAACACTTTCTGAATGTATCATAAAAATATTATACTGGTAATGGTAAATTTTCTTTGATTCAAATCAAAAGCTATCTTTTGATTTGTACATTAAAAAAAGGAAAAGAAAAATCAATGCTTTGACAGTCTTCCCTACTTGGATATAATATTACATGAGATTTTTAAAACTACTTGAGGCTACACATATAGGGGAAGCATTTACATTACATTATGAACGTCCAGTCCACATGTGACTGCATACTTAATAAATATCTGTGAATGAACTATAAGTCATAAAGTGTTTCAAGAATAGTAGCGATTGACCAGGCTTGAGTTTCACAGCTGAAAGGGCAGTATTGACCATTCTCATTAGTCAGTTCTGGAAGTCCTTTCCAAGGAGATCTTAAAGAAAGAAAAGATGTATAATGAGATATGATCTAACAAATATCTTCTTTGTATTAACAAAACAAACAGACACCTGGTGATTTTTGTTGTCTAGTATAGAAAACAAGCATATATAGTCATTAGTAACAAAACAAAACAGGGAATTCTAAAGAGCTATAATAAAGAATTGCTGTTGTTGTTAAGTGCCGTCGAGTCGATTCCGACCCATAGCAACCCTGTATAGGGTTTCCAAGGAGCAGCTGGTGAGCTGGAACCACCGACCTTGCAGTTCAAACGACTTTGCAGTCTGACGCATTAGCCCACAGCGCCACACCAGGACTCCATATATAAAGAATAGACATTGAAATTATTCTTTTGATTCTCAATCTTTGAAACTTTCTTTGGAATGTTCAAATATAAAGGAACTTCTAACAAAAAAACACACCATTTTGGTAATATATAAACATACAAATAAATAGCCTCAGGCCTAATTTTATTATTTCTAGAGTAAGAACATAAAGATTATGAGATTCAAATTGTAATAATATAAATGTGCTATATCTGATATTGATAAAACTGTAAGGCTTCTATAAAATAATGAAGCAACATTGAGAACGATGATTAGGAAAAAGTGTTAAAAATAATCCGAATTTACATACAAATTTATTGAATAAATTGAATAATCATTGTGGACTTCCCATGCTCTAATAGTCTGTGCTTTAGACACAGTATTCTACTTGTTACTCACAGTAACCCTTTAAGGTGCTGGTTAGTGGTAGTTGTGTGCCTTCAAGTCACTTACAACTCACAGAGACCCTGTATAGAGTTTCTGAGGATGTAAATCTTCACAGGAGCAGAAAATCTCATCTGTTTCCTGCAGAGTGGCTGGTGGATTTGAACTACTGACTTTGTGGTTAGCAACCCACCTTGAAACCCACTACACTACCAGGGCTAATGCTTATCCTACAGTGTTTTATGAGGAGTCCAAAAACAGTGTAATGTGGGGTTTGTAGCATATGCACAAACAAAAGGGATGACAACAGCACAAAGATCTGGAGGGGAGAAAGGAAACTATGTTAAGGTTCTTACATGTGCTATACTTGAAGTGGTCTATTACTTGAAGATTGACTGTGTTAAGTCAAACATTTGTACTGTATAATTAAAGTAACTATTAAAAATAGTTATATAAAATTAGTTAACAAAGGAGGTAAAATGAAAAAAAAAAGTAATTAAAAAGAGGCAAGAAAGATAAAGAACAGATAAGATAAATACAAGTCATATAAGAAAACAACCATAAGAATAATAACATTAGGTGTTAATTGTATGAAGACTCCAATTTAAAGTAAGAGATTGGTAGCTTGCATAAAAATGAAAGACCAATTTTAAGCTGCTATGTACGATATCCACCACTCGTCTGTCAGTGTGTCGTACTGTGGTGGCTTGTGAGTTGCTATGACTCTGAAAGCTATGTCACCAGTATTTTAAATACCAGCAGGGTCAACCATGGTGGACAGATTTCAGATGAGCTTCCAGACAAAGACAGACTAGGAAGAAGTGACTTCTGAATATTTAGTCACTGTAAACCTTATGAATAGCAGAGAAACACTGTAAGATACAGTGCCGGAAAATGAGCCCCTCAGGTTGGAAGGCATTCAAAATGCAACTGGGGAAGTGCTACCTCCTCAAAGTAGAGTTGAACATGATGACACGAATGGAGTACACCCATGGGAGTAAAGACCATGGGACCTTCATTTGCTGATGCGGCACAACTCAAAATGAAGAGAAATAGCCTTAAACATCCATTGAAAATCGGAACATGGAATGTACGAAGTATGAATCTGGGAAAATTGGAAGTTGTCAAAAATGAAATGGAACATATAAACATCAATATCTTAGGAATTAGTGAACTGAAATGGACTGGTATTGGCCATTTTGTATCTGACAACCACATGGTTTACTATGCCGGGAAAGATAAAGTGAACAGGAATGGTGTTACAATCATTGGCAAAAAGAACATATCCAGAACAGTCATGAGGTACAATGCTGTCTGTAATAGGATAATATCCATGTGCCTACAGGGAAGCCCAGTTAAAATCACTATTATTCAAATTTATGCACCAACCACTAAAGCCAGTGAGGATGAAATAGAAGAATTCTACCAACTTATTCAATCTGCAATTAATCAAACATGCAATCAAAATGTATTGATCATTACTGATGATTGGTATACAAAGGTTGGGAGCAAAGGGGAAGGATCAGTAGTTGGAAAATATGGCCTTGGTGATAGAAATGATGCTGGAGAACGCCTGATAGAATTCTGTAAAACCAATGATTTGTTTATTTCAAATACCTTCTTTAGACAGTATAAGAGACGACTATACACATGGACCTCACCAGATGGAATACATAGAAGTCAAATTGACTATATCTGTAGAAACAGATGATGGAAAAGCTCCATATCATCAGTGAAAACAAGGCCAGGGG